CCTGACATTATTTCTTTAACAAAAATATTTTTTACGGTTTGCCTTCTACATAAAAACATCAGTTAATGTTAGGAAAAACAAAAAGACCCTTGATGAAAAATCTTTCTTTCTGTTCTTCTTTTTTCCTTTTTTCTTTTTTTTTTTCTTTTTTTTAATTCGATTCATTTTTCCATTTCTATTGGGTGATCAGGAAATATATGAACTAGGTGGAAGGAAATTTGCATTTCAAAGTGTAGGGCCTTTGGGTTGTCTTCCATGGATGAGGGCAATATACAACTCCACAGGTGAATGTGTCGAATTTCTCCAAATTCTAGCAACCATGCACAACAATGCTCTAGCAAAAGCTGCTGAGGAATTAGAAATCAAGCTATCTGGATTTAAGTATTTAATATTTGATTTCTTCACCTCACTCATGGATAGAACAAATAACCCCGCAAAATACGGTATATATATCTGTTGCAGACGTTCAATTTCATTTTATAGCATTCTTTTAATGTTCTGAGGATGTTTTCTGATGCAATATTGTGAAGGTTTCAAGGTGGGTGACATTGCATGCTGTGGTGGCGGAGCATACCATGGCGCGACCGCTTGCGGATGGTTAACAGAAGAATACGAACTATGCAGCGACCCCAATGAATTTGTCTTCTGGGATGCTGCCCATCCTACCGAACACTGCTACTCTCAATTAGCTGAGTTGTTGTGGAATGGAACGGGTAACGTTACTTGGCCTCTTAACATGAAGCAACTATACGAACTCGATATAGACACTAAGGTTTCTTCTCAGGACATTGATCTTATAGATGTTGTATAATTTTTTTTTTCAGTAAAAGTATGGATAATTCTACCCTCAAACCACCAAATCATATGATTGATAATAATAAACACTCCTCATTACTGAGGAGGACAAGTATACTACTCATGGTTTTTAAGTTAAACAGTTACATTAAGTTGTATTAATATATATACGTGCATCTCTTTTTTCTTAATATTCTACAAATAAGACCAACTTTATTAGGTTCATTTATCTCCTCTGCATATGTATTTGTGTAGCTTATTCCAGTCCTATCTCTCTTGTGTGGGAGTCCTACCCATACATGTGAACCCCTAACAGCATTACTTTAAAATTTGGACTGGATCTGTCTCACCAGTTGAACCAAAACTGATTATAAAAATGGTTTGATTGATGATATAAATCTAATGTGCAATAAGACCAAGTCAAAGTCAATCAAACTCTATCCAAACCCAAGAAAATCGGTTAAACCATTAATTTTTGAATTAGTGAATTGTCCAACTCACAAAGTTTTGAACATCTTTCAACAAATTTGTGTGCAAGGGGATTTGCACATTTTAAGTTTTCTACCACTGAACCACCAATACCACTAATGTTATTCTTGAACAAAATTTCATTTATTAAAATAAAATAGAATAAAATAAAATAATTATTTAATATTTTTTTTAACTTGGTTAAAGTTAAGAGTGCATTTAT